TAATTTATTTATATATTAATGGGATTTTACATAGTCCAGAATTTTAATAGTTGACATTTGCCAGGGTTTTTATCTCCAAATAAACTGAAATAGAATATGAATTGCTTCTATATCATACCAATGTCATAATTCTATAATTGATACATGTTAGAAATCTAGACATATAACTAGCACAGATGGTTTCAATTTTGCATCTTGATTTGGAGAAAAGCTATTTGAATCCCAGATACTGTCAAAAATTTGACTTTCTTATACTTGTCTATATCTTTAAAATTTTTTGTTGTATTTACTGTAACTTCGCTCATTCAATTAAAGCTTATCCACCATGTGCTAGGCGCTATACTAGGTTCTAGGGATTCAGTGATTAAAAAATAAATTCCTTGCCCTCAGTGAGCTCCCTTTCTTGCAGAGGAAAACAGTGTATGAGTAGGCCTATTGCAGTAAGGACAAAAAGCTATGGGCACAAAAGGAAGTCACCTCAACCCAAACTTCAGGGAACAGGGAAGGGAAGTAGGAGAGAAATTAGTGAAGACTTCCCAAGGAAGAGAAATCCTGATTTGAATTTGCAGAGAAGATAAAATGTTTATCAGGAAGATAAATAGAGAAAAAAAAGTGTTCTAGGAGAGGAGATAGGATTTGCAAAGACTGAGAGGAGAGGGCAGGGCGAGTTTGGGAAAATACATGTTGTTCATTTTACTGGGACTCAAGCTGCAAATGAAGTTCTGAAAAAATGAGATTGGACAAATAGGTAGAGGTTAGATAATGGAGAATCTTTCATGAGTTTGGACTTTATTCTTTAGTGGTTTTATAAAAATATATAAGGAAGTGAGAAGTAAGTGATGGAATTGGTGTCAAACTGATTAGTAAGCTCCTTTTAGCCATACTATTGAGAAAGTATTTCAGCAAAGTATACCGGAGGAAGGGAGTGGGCTAGGAGGTGATCCCAGGGGACAGCAATAAATGGTGATAGGAATGGGCAAAGGGGAAGATCAATGTTTAAGGGATTATTACAATAGCAGAGCTATTGTAATGACCAAATTAATGTGAAAGCTGTAGAAGGAGAAGCCCAGTCAAACTTCAGTTTCTAGTATGAGAAGAGTTTGGTGGCACCATCCACTGTGATACAGGCTGTCCACAGATTAGAAATGAGCAGAGAGGAGAGGCGACCTACTATAAATATGTTAAATGCATCCATGTGGGGAGATCCAGTGGGGAGCTTCAAATCTAATTTTTGTGAATCCTTAGGAGTATGCATAACTTCACTGAAAAAAATAAATAAATTGGTTCTATATTCCAAGACCTTTCTTCATCTATCCCACTGTTCTCACACTCCCTCCCCCCAGAGGACTGGTATGAACAGTTGTACCCCCTCATCCTTACCCTGAAGGACTGCATGGGAGAAGTGGTGAACAGAGCCAAGCAGTCCCTGACATTTGTGCTCCTGCAGGAACTTGCATACAGCTTGCCCCAGTGTTTGATGCTGACGCTAAGAAGAGATATCGTCTTCAGTCAAGCAGTAGGTACCTGTTGTTGTTAGTACAGAACAGTGCTGAATTGTTAACATTCTATCCTTGATGAGAATAGAGAGATTGTTTAGGCAGTTTTATTTGTAAAAAGATCCTTTTCTTAAAGTTCGGGTACCCCATTTTTCTTATTCATAATAAATAGGAACTGAATATCACATGGAAACTGTTTATGAGACCTTAAGTTCTTGCCTTTGAAGAGAGATGGCCAAGTCTCCAAAAGGTACATTTTGTTTCACAGTCCATGGAGTCTGTGAAGAAAGGGGTTACCCATCCCTGTATATGCCCTGGTGTCTACATAGAGCGTAAGGGAAGGGCCTGCTGCCTTGCACTGCAGGTGATGAGCTAGGACTTGGCAAAGAGGATCTGTTTGCAACCCCTATTTATAAGTTCCCCCATGAATCCTGGGCCAAGGTTTCACGATAATCTCTTATTTTGTTTATAACATAAGTTTTCAGGGACATAAGTCTTGAATGGCCTTTGCCTACACCCAACCGTATTTATAATGCCAAGACAGCCAGCCTTCCTCACAGTGGCTGTGCCAGTGCTTTCCTTCTTCCCACCCTGCCCCCGTCCCCATGGTTGAGTTTTATAGACAGAGCACATGGAGGAAAAGACAGAAGCCCTCTCTTTTTAAACATTCCAGGCATAGGGAATATTTTAACCAACCTGTTCCTTTCTCCCACTACTTCATGGATAGTCCAGTGGCAAATGGAGCTGACCAGGTGTCAGACATCATCTCTGCCTTATACGTGTTTTTTCATTGTGTCCTTTTAATGACCCTATGAAATGAGTACTATTATCTCTATTCTACATGTGCAAAAAATAGTGATAATACAATTTGGCAGTGCTAAGTAACTTTTTATGCTTTCACTCTTAGAAATGGTAGACACAAGACATGAAGACAATCAATCTGACTCTACAATCCATGTTCTTTCCCCTTCTCCAGTATTGCCAAGGCTTTTGTACACAGTGAAGCTAGATCAAAAACTGTCAACTTTTTTAAATATGTATATATATATATCACCCACCAAGTAAGCCACCAAGACCTGCAGAAGAGCTAGCGGGAAAATAGGGCAAACTAGAACAGATC